GCAAAGAATACCAGAAAGATGTTTACTTGTGTTTTATTGACTATGTAAAAGCATTTGATTGTGTGGATCATAAAAAATTATGGATAGCATTGAGAAGAATGGGAGTTCCTGAACACTTGATTGTACTCATGAGGAACCTGTACATTGACCAGGAAGCTGTCATTCCAAATGGAACAAGGGGATACTACATGGTTTAAAAGCAAAAAAGGAGCGTGTCAAGGTTGTATCTTTTCCCCATACTTATTCAATATATATGCTGAGGAAATAATCCGAGAAGCTGGACAATATGAAGCAAAACGTAACATCAGGATTGGAGGTAGAATCATTAACAAACTGAGATACTCAGATGATACAACTTTGCTTGCTGAAAAGCAAGTGCTTGAGGTGCTTACTGATGAAGATTGAAGAATAGACTCTGCAGTATGGATTGTGTCTCAATATAAAGAAAACAAAAATCCTCACAACTGGCTCAATAAGCAGTATCACAATAAATGGAGAGTTGAGGTTGTCAAGAATTCACGTTGCTTGGTTCTACAATCAATGCCAATGGAATCAGCAGTCAAGACATTAGACAACACGTAGCACTGGGCAGGTCAACCACGAAGGAACTGTTTCAAGTGCTGAGGAGCAAGGATGTTTCCTTGAGGACTAAGGTGTGCCTGACACAAACCATGATATTTTCAGTCACCTCGTATTCATGTGAGAGCTGGACAATGAATAAGGAAGACCAAAGAAGAGTTGATGCTTTTGAGTTGTGGTGCTGGCGAAGAATGCTGAAAGTACCATAGAATGCTAAAAGAACTAACAGATCTGTCCTGGAGGAAGTGCAGCCAGAATGCTCCTTGGAAGCAAGAATGGCCAGACTTCGTCTCACCTACCTTGGTCATGTTGTCAGAACGGACCATTCCCTAGAGAAGGATGTAATGCTTGGTAAGGTGGAGGGTCGATGAAAGAGGAGAAGGCCTTCAACAAGGTGGATTGTGACGCGGTGGCTGTGAAAATGGGCTCAAGTATAGCAGAGATCATGCAGCTGATGCAGGATCAGGTGGTGTTTTGTCCTGCTGTGCGTGGGGTTGCTATGAGTCAGAAACGACTCGACGGCACCTAACAACAACAAACAACAACAACAATAACTTCACAAGGTTTTCAGTGGCCAGTTTTTCAGAAGTAGATGGCCCTGTCCTTTTTCCCATTAACAGCAATAGCATAATGTATATATATATGTCATATTTATTTTGATAAATATAATAAATATATGTGTGATAGATCAATAATACACACATACACACACCACTTGCTGTTGAGTCAGTTCCACCTCATGGTGACCCTATGTATGATGGAGTAGAAGAGTGCTCCATTGGGATTTCAGTGGCTGACTTTTCAGAAGTGGATCCCCAGACCTTTCTTCTGAGGCACCTCTGAGCTAATTCAAACCAGAAACCTTTTAATAAGTACAGAACACTTTAATCTTTTGTGCCACCCGGGAACTCCACATACTATATAGATATATACCATATATTATAATAAATATGCCATATAAACTCCAAAACCAAACTCACTGCCATCAAGTGGGACCTGACTCGTAGCAACCCCTCCTTGGGTTTCCAAGGCGGTTTCACTGTGGAAATAGATTGCCCAACCTTCCTTCCAAGGAGTGGCTGGTGGGTTTGAACCTCCAGCCTTCTGGTTAGCAGTCAAATGCCTTAGCCATTATACCACCGGAACTCCTTAATATACCATATATATATATATATAACAAATATATTAGATAAAAAGATAGATAGATAGACAGATGGGAAAACTAAATTATGCTGCAGTAACAACCTTAAAGTCTCAGTGGCTTAAAATGTCAAAAGTTTGTTTTTCATTTACATTACATTTCCATAATGCTTTAGCTGTTGGCCCTTCTCAGCTCTGTCATTGTGTTATCTGAGCTCCAGGGCCCAGGCTGATAAAGCAGCCACTCTGGAATATTTTTTCTTATGATGGCAGTGGGAAAAAAAATAAAGCTCTGGAGGCTCTCACATCAACCCAGAAGTTATATACACTATTTCTTCTCACAGCTCATTGGCCTGGTCACATGGACGTAACCACAAGGCAGCCAGGAAGTACAATCCTGCCACAGTCCAGAAGGACGAATAATATGAATATTAGCACTAATAATGACCAAAAAAAAAAAAAAAAAACCTCACTGCTATTGAGTCAATTCTGACTCATAGCAACTTCCATTGGGTTTCCAAGGCAGTAAATCTGTATGGAAGCAGATCGCCCAGTCTTCCTTCTGCAGAGTGGCTGGTGGGTTTGAACCATCAACGTTCCCGTTAGCAGTCAAATGCCTCAGGCACTTTGCCACCAGAGCTCTTCAGTAATTAATGATCCTGTTATATTTTTAAGGGATTTTAAAACTTTTAATGCTGAAAATATTCCAAATGCATTTTACCTTGGTAGATTTCTTTCCCTTGCACGTAAGTTAACTGAGGATGTTCTGTTTTGTATTAACTTTCAGGTAAATTATGAAAAGCTACTTTGGTTTCTAAAAGTTGCAGTTTCAAATGACCCTCAGCCAAGCAGAACAGTTGTGGACAGTGACCTGAGGAAAACCCAGTGTCCTACTATTATGAATCAAAGGTAGCTTTCTCCCTTTTGGGAGGCAAATTGTTCTTAGACTTCTAAGGCTGCCAGGGCTCTTAGAGGCAATTTGCTATACAGTTTTGCCCAATACAGAATCACTTTTCTCTTCACCAAAATTTGGTTTATGCTCTTAGTTTTCTCTCTCTTATATGCAGGCCTGCATAGAAAGTTATTTGCAGTGATTGCAAATGTTTCTTAACACCAAGCAAGTATGTATATGGGTTTATGTTTGTGTGTGTGTGTAATAATGTTTTATTGTATTTTCAGCAAAGGTTTAGACAGCAGTTCAATAATTTGCCATTCAATAATTTCTACACAAATTGTTCCGTGACATTGGTTACATTCTTCACAATGCATGAACATTCTCATTATTTCCGTTCTGGTTATTCCATTGAGCATGTATGTTTTTTATGAGGTTATAGTGTGCAAATTGAAAACTTCCTTGTGAAATAAATGATTGTGTGCTGATGCAGAGCACATCTACAAAGTATTTTTCCAGAGATACATTCTAAGTCAGTAAACTCCTATGTTAAAGGCACTAACCAAGAAAGGTTGGAGGTACAGGAAACAATCCCCTTTACTAATAACTTCAAGTGAAAACAGAAAGTAAGGAGTATCACTAGAAATGGGGTGGAGTAAAACATGATAGAATTTACTGAGGCAAGAGACAAAGTACAGTAGTTAAGAACATAGCCTCCTTTGCCAGATGGTTGGTCTCAACTTACATTTCCTACTTAGTGGCTGTGTGATATAGAGCATGTTACTTAACCTCTCTATGCTTCTATTCTCCAACTGCAAAATGGGTATAATAACAGACTTCACTTAAGAGAGTTGTTTGTAGCTGTTGTTGTTGTTGTTATGTGCCGTCGAGTCAGCCCCGACTCATAGCGACCCCTCCTTGGGTTTCCGAGGCAGTATCACTACGGAAGTAGGATTGCCCAACCTTCCTTCCGAGGAGTGGCTGGTGGGTTTGAACCGCCAGCCTTCTGATTAGCAGTCAAGTGCTTTAGCCACTATGCTACCAGAGCTCCTGTAGATGAGTGAATAACCACAAAGATCTTAAAATTAATTTCTGGAACATAGTAAGGACGTTGGTCAGGGAAATGACCCCACAAATCATATTAATAGAGTTTTGCAAGACCAATGACTTACTCATTGCAAATACTTTTTTTCAACAACATAAATGGTGACTACACACATGGCAAGGAGCTCTGATGGCACTGTGCCTAAAGCATTTGACTGCCTACGAGAAGGCCGGCAGTTTGAACCCACCAGCTGCTCCAATGAAGGAATATGAGGAAATCTACTTCTGTAAAGATTTATTGCCTTGGAAACCCAATGGGGTCACTATGAATCAGAATCTACTCAACAGAGTGGATATACATGTGGCATCAGGATTGAAAGAAGACTCATTAAAAATTGGTGATATGCAGATGACACAACCTTGCTTGCTGAAAGTGAAGAAGATTTGAAGTACTTACTAATGAAGATGCAAGGCTACAGCCTACAGTATGGATTACATCTTTACATAAAGAAAACAGAAATCCTTGCAACTTGACCAATAAGCAACATCATGATAAATGAAGAAAAGATTGAAGTTATGGATTTCATTTTGCTTGTATCCACAGTCAACACCCATCGAAGCAGAGTCAGGGAATTAAATAATATTATCGCTTTGGGCAAATATGCTACAAAAGATCTCTTTAAAATGTTTAAGGGAAAGATGTCACTTTGAAGACTAAGGCCTGAGCCAAGCCATGGTATTTTCAGTAGTCTCGTATGCATGTGAAAGCTGGACAATGAATAAGAAAGACTAAAGAAGATTTGATGTTTTTGAGCTGTGGCACTGGCAAAGTATACTAAAAGTACCATGAACTACCAGAAGAACTAATAAATCTGTCCTGGAGGAAGTGCAGCCAGAATGTCCCTTGGAAGATAGAATGGCCAAAGTTCGTCCTACCTACTTTGATCATGTTGTCAGAAAGCACCATTTCCTGGAGAAGGATAAGATACTTGAGAAAGTAGAGGGTCAGCAGAAAAGGGAAAGGCCCTCAACAAGATGGATTGACATTGTGACTGCAATGATGAGCTCAGGTATAGCTAAAATTGTGAGACTGGTACAGGACCAAGCAGTATTTCATTCTGTTGTGCATAGGCTCACTATGGGTTGGTGCAGAGTCAGTGGCATCTAACAACAGCAACAATATATGCATGTAAAAACTGAACAGTAAATAAAGAAGACTGCAGGAGAATTGATGCATTCAAGTCTGATGTTGGTGAAGAATAATGAATGTACCATGAACTGCTAGAAGAATGAGCACATCTGTCTTGGAGGAAGTACAGCAAGACTGCTCCTTAGACGAAAGACCGGTGAGGCCTCATCTAGTCATGTTGTCAGTAGGGTCCAGTCCCTAGAGAAAGATATCATGCTTGGTAAAACACAGGGTTAGTGAAAAATGGGATTGACATGATGGCTATGACAATGGGCTCAATCACAGCAGTGGTTGTGAGGATGGCACAGGACTAGGCACTGATTCATTCTGTTGTACATAATAACGATAAGTAAGAAAGACCAAGAAAGACTTGATGCTTTTGAGCTGTGGGGTTGGCAAAGAATACTGAAAATACCATGAACTACTAGAAGAATTAGCAAATCTGTCCTGGAGGAAGTGCAGCCAGTTTGTTGCACATAGGGTCGCTATGAGTCAGAACTGACTCATTGGCACTTAGAAACAATAACAATTTATTAGTGTTTCTTACTATTTTAAAATTATCCTTTCAGAAGGAACTCTTCAATTATTGCTTTTAAGTGCTATGGAATCATTTCAAACTCATAGCAACCTATGTACAACAGAATGAAACACTGCCCAGTCTTGCACCATTCCCATAATTATCGCTATGTTTGAGCCCATTGTGTTGGCAGCCATTGTGTTAGTCCATCTTTTTTGAGGATCTTCCTTTTTTCCTTTGCCCCTCTACTTTCCCAAGCCAGATTTCCTTCTCCAAGAACTGTTCCTTTCTAATAATATGTTCCAAGTACATGATACCAAGTCTCAGCATCCTCCCTTAAAAGCACGTTCAGGCTGTACTTCTTCCAAGACAGATTTGTTTGTTCTTCTGATAGTCCATAGCATATATAGTATTCTTCACCAACACCATAATTCAAAGATAACAGTCTGCTTTAATCTTCCTTATTCAGTGTCCAGCTTTTGCATATATATAAGTTGTGATACTTGGGGCTGTGTGTCAACTTGGTTGGACCCTGATTCTGAGTGGTTTAAACTGTTGTGTTGTGGTTATTACTATGATGAGATCTGATGTATATGCTTTGAGCAGCCAATCCATTGCAAGGGAGTTTCTCTAAGGCTGTGAGCTGCTTCCAATATATATATGGATATCCTAGGAAAAATTATAGAACCTTCTATGGATCTGGATCCTGTTGTGCTGCCTATAACTGTCCATGAGGGAGCAATCCACAATTCTGCCTGGTGATCTTGGATTCATCATTCGCTGAAGTCAACATCCGGTCTACTGCCTACTAACCTTGAGCTCATCAGCCTCTGTAGATATGTGAGTTGAGAGAAGCCTCCAGCTTGATGTTTGATCAGAACTTGGGACTTACCAGTCTCTATAACTGTCAGCCATTTTCCTAAGGTAATTCTCTCTCTATATATATAAGCTTCACTGGTTTTGCTTCTCCAGAAAACCCAGCCTAACACATAAGGTGATTGAAATTTCTGTGACTTATGTCAAGCACACCATAGTCCTCGAAGTGACATCTTTGCTTTCTAACACTTTAAAGAGGTCTTTTGTATCAGATTTTCCCAATGCAATAAGTCGTTTGATTTCTTGACTGCTGCTTCCATGGGTGGTGTTTGTGGATCCAAATACAATGAAATCCTTGACAACTTCCATCTTTTCTCCATTTATCATGATGTTGCTTATCTTGATTCCAGTTCGAGTTTGCTTTCTTTATGTTGAGGTATAATCCATACTGAGGCTGTAGTCTTATTTCTTAATCAATACTTATTTCGAGTCCTCCTCACTTTCAGCAAGCAAGGTTGTATCACATGCATATCACATTTTGCTCATGAGTCTTCCTCCAATCCTGATGGCACATTCTCATATAATTTGCTCAGCATGCAGACTGAGCAAGTATGGTGAAAAGTTACAACCCTGACACATACCTTTTCTTATTTTAAACCATGCAGTATGCCCTTGTTCTATGCAAACAACTACCTCTTGCTCTATGTACACGCTCGTCATGAGCACAATGAAGTGTTCAGGAATTCCCATTCTTCACAATGTTATCCTTAATTCTTTATGATCCACAAACTCAAATGCCTTTGCATAGTCAATAAAACACAGGTGAACATCTTTCTGATACTCTCTGCTTTCAGCCAAGATCCATCTGACATCATCAATGATACTCCTCATTCCACAGCCTCTTTGAATCCAGGTTTAATTTCTGGTAGTTCCCTGTCAATATACTGCTGTAACCACTTTTGAGTTATCTTTAGGAAAATTTTACTTGCATGTCATATTAATGATGTTGTTTGTTAACTTCCACATTTTGTTGGATCACCTGTCTCTGGAATACTCATAAATATGGCTCTCTTCCAGTCAGTTGGCCAGATATCTGTCTTCCAAATTCCTTAGCAAAGATGAGTGGGCACTTCCAGCATTGCATCCAATTGTTGAAACACCTCAATTGGTCTTCTGTCCATTCCTTGTTTTGTCCCTCGAAACCTTCAGTATTACAACTTGGGGCTTGAATATTGTCTTCAGTTTTTTCAGCTTAACTAATCCCAAGCAAATTCTTCCCTTGTGATTTTCTAACTCCAGGTCTTTATACATTGCATTTTAATACTTTACTTTGTCTTCTTGAGCTGCCCTTTTAAATTTATGTTCAGCTTTTTTACTTCATCATTTCTTCCATTAGCTTTAGCTACTCTGTGTTCAAGAGAAAGTTTCAAGATCTCTTCTAAAATTCCATT